CTGTCCAGGACAATTTTCAGCGCTGTCACACTTTGAATGACAATTGAGAGGTCATGCAACACTGTACCCATATGAATTTTGTAGAATTGTTTTGCGACAGATAAAACTTTATTTTGGTGGTATTTCTTCACCACTGGGATTTTTATTTTTTTTGCTATATAAATGAAAAAGTCCAAAAATTTTGAAAAAAGTGTTTTTCTTATAAAATGTATAGAAATTTTAGAATAAATCATTCTTTCTTCATACATTTTGCCCACAATTTATTCCGTTATCTTTTTAGTAAAAAAAAAAATAACCCAAATTAGTTTATATACATGGGCCGGACGGGAAGTGGTTAACATGTTTGCTTTAATAATCATTGATGTCATTGATATAAAAAAAAAAAAAGATGTAAAGCCAGAGATTCCCACCAGAAGACCTTGATCTCTCAGCAACTGGTAATAGTAACTGTAACCTCAGACTTGGTGGGGTTCCTTCCTTAGCAAATCCTGTAGTGTCAGGAAATCTGTATACTGAAAATGTGCTATTTTAACATGTCTGCTAATCAAATGAATCTGAAATGGCTCCAGGCTCTTTTTGAGTAGACCACAAGCCTCAAGACTTAACACCTATCTCTGCAGAAGGATAAGGATTCAAAGGCCAATTGCCTAGGTTTTTACACTTGAGGCAGCATGGATCAACATTTTTTCCAAGCAATGTTAGTATTTAAGCCTTTTATTTAAAGTGGAACTAAAGGTTAACAAGAAAATGACATATATGATGCTGTCTGTCAATTACAGCGTTATCTGGAGTTAGGCTTTCATTTTTATTCACTTATGCAAAGTTCATCTAAATCTACTAGTCCATCGAACACTACCATATCCAGAGGTGCTGTTGTCCAAGGGTGTCATCCTTACTCCCCTGTGTATAGAGGTGCCACCCCAAAACAAGAAGTGTGTTACTGGCCAAACCATCGTGTTGAAAAAAGGGGAAAAATAACGCAGAAAGCTAATGTAACCATGACATCCAAGGAATGGTAAGCTGCAATATATATTTTTGTTTTGGGATTTGAGACACTAACTATTTTGGCAAGTATGTGATCATAACTATGTGAACATTTAGGTACAGGTCCACTTTAAGGAGTCAGATTTGAATGAGAACACTTTTATTCAAAACCACTGCAATTTGCTTGGCTTCAGTAATGAAGTCCCTTTGTTTCTCTAGAATAAAAAGACAACTCAGCTCTTTTTCTGTTAAATAGGCAGTTTTTATTTCAGCCCCAGGTGTACTAAAATCCATGATAATGGCTTCTGTTCCTGTATTTCTAGGAAACACCGCATAGATTGTATTCTATTTATGTAGCTTTTAAACTTTGAGGATTTTTTTTATTCTTTTCTTTGTGTTTCATAAATTATTTTGCCTGGCCAGCCTGCTGCTATTGATCCAAAGTTACTCGACATCCTTAAGTATTTATTCTTTACCTAAAAGTCCTGTTCCAGTCTCAGTGAAACTGTTCACATACATAAAGAAACAATTTATGGGTCTACAGATAAAAAAAAATCACTTATTTCCCTAAAGCAGTGTTACAAATGCCACGTAAAATTGCATTCAGGTAGCAGCTTCTCCTATCTATATCGTGTATCTGGAGTGCAAGCAGTTGGGTATGAGCTCTTCCTGTGCCAACTCAACAGAACTGATGAGAGCTCTTGTACCAGCAACCACTCAAAAGACATGAAAAATGATATTGACAGAAACAAACTGATCACAACCAGGCAAGAGCATTGGTGACATTTACAATTGAGGGGGTCACACAAACCTGTTTTACTGGTATACATACCAGCTTATGAAAGCCTAACAGTTAACGACTGGATTTCACCTTAGCAGAACTACTGCACGACACACACCTATTACAAATCACTATTCTACTTTGGTTTGGTTTTAAATGCTGCCGTAAAACTTACCTGGTGGACAATCTACTGCTCTAGTGGGCTGATAGAAAGTCTGGCACAGTTGGGAGGAAATCCGATAACTGCGCTTATAAACAACTGCATAACTTCTATATAGTTTGCTACTTCAAACTACAACTCAAATTAATAAAAATTAAATGTAGCTTAAGGCTCAGTTCACACTACTACGATGCAACTTTGATGGCATTTACAGTGCAACTTTGCATACTCTACGGGGGCAAGTTGCGTTGTAAATCGCACCAAAGTAGAGCAGGAAAATTTTCCAAGGTTGAACCATGTTGAGTCATATTGATTAGAATGGACACCTTTGAAAACAGTGAGACTTCTCTTGTCATTTGAGTCTGTGTGACTCAAGTCGCATCAGAAGTCTTACTAGTGTGAACTGGGACTTATAGCTCTCAAAACGAAAAGGATACCTTCGATTGCAAAGTTTAATATGTGTTTACACATGGTAGTATCAGTCCTATCACAATACAGTGAGTGCTTTTGTAATAGTGTTGTAAACCAAATTCTACTAATGACTATAAACAAATGCAAGGTAAAATGTAATGAAACTCTACCTGCGTACATCAGCCTTGCAGTGCACATATTGATAAATATATAAATAAGCCACAGCACCTAATTTCTCTAAATATACTTTCAGATTTCAGTTTGTACACTTCAATCTGGTTGCTGGATACTCTGCTTTGTATCTAACCCAGGTAATTTTCCTTAATGAGTAAACCTCTCTTTTCAAGCAGTATTTCCTGTCATGTTTTCCATAGAAGAATCGTTTTACTGGGGTCAGATTGTAGGCCGCTGACATTCCCAAGTAATTTATCTGTGTACACATGGCGGCTTGTACAATGGGTCTTCTGATCTTTCATTAACCACTATTTGGATTCTGTTAGGGCTTTCCTTGTAGAGAGACTTCAGTACATTTAGAATAGGTCATTAATTGTGTTGGTTGAAAAAAACGCTGTGGAGATGTATTCTATCATAATTACTGGTCGTAGGTAGCAGTGAAAAGACAGCACCTCAAAATCTACTCACCAAAAATTATTCAAAACCAGGTTATTAAATCAATGCCATTATGATTATCTCCTGAAATACTGTATAATAAATTGAATATTGCAACAAATTGATTGGGTACAGATTCTATTTAGAAATAACCAATTCTAAACCAAAATTTTAATATTAAAGCCCAACTGTGCATTTTGCCTAAATACAAACTAATTGTACAATTGCAATTTAAATAAGCTTGAAAAATAATATATTTTGTATCTGTGATGTCATAATGTAACTGTTTTTTCAGCCATTTAATCCTGGGAAGATCTGTACAGTCACACAGCCTCCATTTCAATGTTGTTTCTGAGACTTTCAAGCCCCATGATTCCTAGGATTTTTTTTTATGTATCATACTAATTATACATATTTAGAAATCATTGATCTGAACAACCAGCACTGTGGTATAATGGTTAATCGTCCTGTCCAGTATACATACATTCAGGGATTTAGGGTTGCACTTTGCAATTTTCAAAGTTATTAAAAGTTGAGCTTTACTCCTTGAAAAACTTACCGTTCTACTTTTAGACATACCTAAAAATTCTGGTGATAGGGAGTCTGTGGATAAAATATGCCCAATCCTTTAATCTATAGCAAGTTATTCCTCTTTGAAGGAGCCAAACCTTGAGGTCATCACTTAGATAGTTTCTATATACTCCCTCTTCCCCCACCTTACCCTTTGTCTCCCTCTTATACCTCACCACAACTCCTACTGCAGAGGCACTGCTACTCCTCTTATTTCCACCTTGATCCAAGTTTTTAAATGGATTCAGCTGCACATCCTGGTTAGTGTTTTGCTATCCACCAGATACCTCGCAAAATAACTATGACTACAAGTGTATCACCAGATTACCATTCTAAATGTCTACAGAATTTTGTTATAGTCTCACATGTACTCATGTTATAGATGGCTACAGTTTTGGAATCCATCAGTGCTTCATTTATTTCCACATGGTTCTATATATTTCTATATATATTACAACTTGTACTTTAAAATATTTAAATAAAAACCTATTTACTGAAAAAAAACTAATTATTTCTATATAAACATTATTTATATTTTATCTCCAGGAAAGCTAATCATTAGGGGAAGCAAAGCTGGAACAGCACAGGTGGGCTTAATGCTGGAGTGCAGATGTCAACTTTAGAGGCAGAAGAACTACATGGGTAAAGGTATTGGTCTCCCAAAAGATAATAGGCACTGAATAGTGCCATTCCAGGTCCCCAGGGCAGAAAATTTAATTTGCATATACAATATATGAAACTGTGATTTCATATACCCACCCCCCATAGGGTGGGTTAGGAAGATGCATTTCTAAGCAAGACTGAGAAATAAGGTAATTTATGCACAATACACTACTAATACTTGATTTTTGCCCAAATTTGGACTTTAGGGGTACTAAAAACTTTAATCCTAGCCCAAAGAAATAAAAGGCTGGATTGTTTTAAACCGGTTTTATCACTGAATGCAACAATTCAAAACAATGGTTTACTTTTTGGTATGAAAAACAGCAATGTCTACAACTCAACAGTGTTTGAATCTTTACAACAATGGTCAAATCTTATACCTTCCCTCATCCTTTACCAAGGATCTGCTTGTGAATGGACAGACCTAAAAGAAAATTCTACTGCCATTGCAAATTTCTCCTTTTAAAAATGCTAAGTAGCCTGGTTGTCTTGCTGACCATTCAGCTTTATTGCTTTTTAAGTCACTGATCCAAAAAAAGTATGCATATCAGGAGTTTTGACATCAATCTGAGTTTACTTGCTATGTAAGAAATTATGGAAGCCAGAGTGTCAGCAGGAACTAACATTTCCAGGAGGAGAGGTCAGAGATGGCTTCCCTGTATGTCTTCTGTAACAGGTTTCATTAAACCTGTATATTGCAAAGACCTTCAAAATTCCACACTCTTCACCTCAATCACTGAAAAGGATACCCACAAGGAATAACATCTCACAAGTAAAATTAGTTTGTCAAATTAAGAAACCAACAAAAAATACTACTCACATGGTATGTGTTGCTGTGTCTGCTACAGATGGACTGAGAGCTTCCTGCCGTAGGGAATCCATCTGTGCTCCAGGAAGCAGGGCATAATGACTTGGACTTGTGTTTTTCTCACCTTTCTTCTTAGATTTCTTCCCGGTGTCTTTTTTGGTGTTTCTCTGCATCATGAATTCTTCCTGAATGATTTTATCATTGCTCATATACCGGAGGAGAGAACTTTCTGAGCAGAAGAAAGAGTAATGGTCAAATTATTCTGGCAAAACCAATGAAAAAAGCAACTAGGGCAAGAATTTCCCCTAATATTACCTTGGTTTAAAAAAAATTGCATTTATAATTGCATTTATATGCTACTACAAATATATTGCAATAGCGATTTGTCCCTTAGAAGCACAAATGTGAAAAAAAAGCAGTTGAGTTTTTTACTTATTATTATATTCAGATATAGAAGACTCCCTATTTAAGTCATATATAAAAATATGAAGCCCTGGAGGCAATTTGCAGTACCAAGTAAATTTGAAGCACTGCTCATTCAAAAAGAACATATAGCCTATGACTGTGGCTGTCCTAGGTTACAAATATGTAGTATTTTAGACTGTGCGCTATAGGCCGGGTCTATTTTTTTCAGTTCTAACACTAAAGTTTGCTTAGGGCTCAAGGCAGAGTTCCAAACAATGAATGATGTTAATAACATGGAAGAGCTACATTAGTGTGGATTCACACATGTGCGGTGTGAATTGAAGCTCTATTTTCACAGCTAATTGACAAAATAGTTGTTGAGCGGTTCAGGTCAGGTTTAGATCAGGTTCAGGACAAGCTTAGATCAGGATCAGGTCAGAATTTTATCCTGTTCACAACTGATGACATGCGTGAGTCAGAAGCATTTCCAAAGAAGTCAATGAGCTTGAATTTGCACCTGAGCCGGACTGCACTGCACAGAAAACGGACAAGACTCTTTCAATTTGCACTGAATCCACACACCATCTCTTACTGAATCACATTGCAGAATATAATTTTTTCTTAGCTGTATGTTGCTGGACAGCAATGAACAACCTGGTCTCCATTGAGGTCAATCAAGTCAGAACAAAGCAGAGATCCTGTGCGTGTCTGATTCATTCTTTGTGTATGCTGACAGCAAAGAGCTTTGCTTGTCTCAGAGATCAAATGAGACTTATTTAGTTGGTATCTGCATATCAATGTTAAAGCCCTTATTGCCTGAACTGTGGGAAATGTTTTTTTTTTATTTTTAGGTTTTATCCAGCACAATTTAGATTGCTGGTGTTTATGTGGGGGGGGGGGGGGGGGGGTGTTGTGGGGGGGGGTGTGTGTGTGGAATAGCTATGTGGCCAAATAATACTAACAACTTGTACTTTCAGCTTTACCTTTTATTCCTCGTTGTAGCAGTTGTCCAGTGTGTATAAATAAAACTGGACCATTCACATGTATGGGGACAATAGCGATTAGATGTGGGGGGTGCAGTGGAGTTTACTGGCAATTAGCTGCCATCTTCTACAGCTATTCACAGCTGCTCACATGTACTCAAACAGAGAATACTTGTGTAAGACCAGCCCTGGACATAGACAGTCTTTGTCTAATGCCATTCATTTAAAGGTAAATCGCTGCTTGAGCAATCACATGTGAGTGGCTGTGAATAGCTGCAGGAGCTGTGGAGATGGAGATCAGATTCCTCAAATCCAAATGCTGATGGCTGAGAAAATCCTCCTTCAAATTTTCACTGTCTGGGATGTGAACAGCGAAAAGGGCTAGAAAGGAAGATAAAATCTACTTCCCTTAGATTGATGCAACTTCTGATGCCTGACTGATGTAGGCCACAGCTGTGACATTTTCCGACTGGATTCTTGTCAGGTGTTCTTGCAAGAGACAAATAGGAGAACAAGGAAGATGCCACTGAGTGTAGTATTAGTATGTGGTTTATTCAGCAAAAGTAAGTAACACTCACAAGAGAGTAGAAAAGCAATCACTTGTCATCAGTAATGCACAGGTACAGTGCAGCCCAAAGTCCAGGGATGGAGTCACGCTTCCACGGATAGTGGGGAACGCCATCACCACAGTTCCGGCATGGGAACACCAACTGGAAGTGAAGGAACCAGCATGTAACACATCTGCAGGTTGAAATGATGTCACTGGAAGAAGACCAGTGTTGTGCAAGCAGGCTATACGCTTTGAGCTCACCAGCTCCTTCTACAGGCCTGTAGAACTGATGACAAGTAATCACTTTTCTACTCTCTTGTGAGTGTTATTTACCTTTGCTGAATAAACCACATACTAATACTACACAGTGGTGCTCCCTTGTTTTCTTATTTGCCTTTCTACACAAAGCCTGCATACAAGGAATGGCTGCCACAGTGGATGAGGGTACCCCTGTCCACACATATGGACTTATAAACTGCACCCTGGGCCTTTGCTATCCATCTTAGTGTTCATTCCTTCATGTCCCTTCACTTGTAGTTTCACCTGTTGCGCCTCTGCCCACCCTGTTTATGTTCCTCCAAGAGAATCCAATGTTAAAAGAGACAACTGAATTGCTATGAGTTCCAGAATTTTGACGAGGAGGTAGGCTTCTTTTGATTACTATGTTCCATGCACAAAATGGACATTCGGTACTGTTCCCCAGTCTGGCTGACTGTCCCTTGTAGTGAGAGCCTTCAATGTCTTTGGAGGAAAGGGCTTACCTCATTCCAGCACTGGGTTGGAATTCCACTACACTAGGGAGAGTCTGGCCTTGAAGTACAGATGCATTATGCAGCCCACGGACCAAGTCTGGGTGCCCTATGTTGCCAAAATGTTGATTTGCAACAGTTTGGAATGAAACTTATATTGTATAGTTTGGTTGCCTTGGTTGTGTTGAAGGAGAAATAATAGACCATGACCCTTATGCAATCATGAAGTCCTTCCCCTGGGTTTGGGCATGATTGAGGATCTAGTTAAGACAAGAAATAGCAGGATCTACCACACGAAATGATCACTACTTTAGGACACTTTCATCAATAGGATACTGCTGGGTGAAGTGTTTGGAGCAGTAAAAATCTTTTTTTCTAGATGAGGCTAGTCCCTATACAGGACAGCTAGAAAGTTAAAGATATTTTTTGCATTTTAAGGAACCCAATTGTGGATACCTTATGACCGAAGGACATTAGCAAAAAGTTGAGGCTAGCTGGGAATGGGATCTGTTATATAGGGGATGTCCCTCTAACCTTCTTCTGAAGGCATATAACCAATTGATGATGATGATTAAAGATCCTATGTCCTGTACTGTACAATTACAAAAAGGACATTTAAAGTATATCTAAGAAAAATACAGTCACAATAACATGTGATAGTACAAAATTATAAAAGAGACAAAAAGGTGCGACACTCCAATTAAGCATTATTGAACAATAGGGACATTCATAAAGTGGAGCAAACAGGATAAATCTTTGCAGAAAATGTCAAGAGTTGCATATAAATTCAGCTGTCCAGATGTCTGGATCGACTAATTGTACTTATAAGCAATGCTAACTGGTTTTAACCTCTGCTCACATATTCACATTAAAAGTGTGTTATAGATACAGTGCCTCTTAATCAGGCTCTATGCACAGTTCTGTAAGAGAGGAAGTGAGCCAACTGTAGGAACAGGGGTGATAATCCTTGGAAGGCCTGAAAAAATGCACTGATTTGGTATTGTTCCAGGAAGATTTGAATTTTGTTTCACCATTGCGTCTTTGCATGCTGAACTAGTAATTTTAATAATAAATTGCAAAATGAATGACCTGGCAATATACATCATATCAATGCTTGTATTTAAAAAAAAAAAAAAAAAATGTATTGGAGATTTTTTAAAAAAATATACAGCATTGCCATAGCAATTGCATTAGCAAAGGATTGTGGAAAGTCAACGCATGACCAGGGGCGGACTGACAACTCATGGGGCCCCCGGGTAATAGGGGATCATGGGGCCCCTGTGTCCTACCCAAACTCTAAAAAGCCTATGAAAAAAGTACCAGGGACATCTCATGGGGCCCCCTACTGACCCAGGCCCTCGGGCAGTGCCCAAGTTTCCAAATGGTCCGTCCGCCCCTACGCATGACCATAGCTCTTTATGGTACACTGATCTCAACGGATGTTCCATGAAATATAAACACAATGATGTAATCCAAAACTTGTTTTATATAGAAGAATAATCTTCTGATTTACCCAAAGAGAAACTTAATACAATAGTTAGAACAGCGATGTACAACTGCCTAACTTGGGACTGAGGATTTAATTGTTGTACAGAGTAAAGCCTGTACTATCCAGGACAAAGGACTGCTCCTTTAGTTAAATTTAAGCACACTAGAACTTATTTAATCTGACTGAAGGCAAGCCATGGATTCCATACCTTGTAGAATCTTTTGGCGTTACCATCTTTATGAGCCATAATAACAAAGCTACTTCTTAGTTGTTTAATAACTTCTCAGTGGCTTGGGATCACATCTGACTTCCAATTACGTATCACTGTTAATCTAGCGGCCATCAGAATATGTAATGTGATTGGTCTAAGCAACAGTGGTAGATGTTCCAGGTTTATATTTAAGTTGCTTGTTCAAGATTTTCTTTGATTATCACTCCGGTAACAGAAGATATTAATCTAAATGTGGCTTTCCAGTAGCTTGTGGAATGAGGACAAAACCATAAAATATGGAGAAAAGTGTCCACTTGGCCACAGCTCTGCCAGCACTTTAGATTTTTGTGTTGTAAATTTTGCGGTGATGTAGGAGGTGAGATGCCATCTAAAATGTATTTTCTGTGCAATTTCGCAATATGTAGCTGATGTTGTGTAGTATAAGTTATATTTTAGGGCATTTTCTCATCGTTTATCGGTGAAATTGGTCACACGATCTAATTATAATTTTTTAAGGGGAGGTGATTTCACAAAGGTTTGTTTTGATTGTAGTAGATTGTAAAACAAGGATATGCCTTTAATGTCAGTATGCGTGTTATTCCAGAAAACCCAAGCTTTATGCGGTACCTTAGTGCGCAAGTAGGAGTTGTTTTTGAGAAAAGATATTCTTACATATGTGTAGTAATCAGAGTTTGCTAGAGAGTATGATTGAGAAAGTACAGAGAATGGAATGAATTTACCATTTTTTTAAGAGGTTGTCAATTCGAGTGATTCCCTTTAGTTCCCAATCCAGTCAAGGGAGGTGCGGAATATGTGTTTTAAGGGATGTTAAAGGAGTCCATGTTTTTATAGTTACCCAGATTGTGGGTTGAGTACGTTGAATTGCTGTACCTTGGATAGAGGTGGCTAGGAGTGTTGAAGAAAGGTTGTTTGGGAACACTCAGTCTTGCTCAATAGAAGCTCAGTGTTTAATGGTGGAAGGATGGAACCAGTATTTGATATGATCTAATATACAAGCTCTGTAATAGTCTTGCAAGATTGGTAAACCCATTCCACCCACTCTTTTGTGTTTTAACAGACTAAATTGAGAGCATCTTGAATTTTTATCTGCCCAAATGAATTCTGAAAGTTGGGATTGTAAAGTTTTGAAAAATAAGGTGAGTATCTCAAAGAGCAATGCTCTAAAGTAATAAAGAATTTTCAGTAATAATATCATCTTATATGCAGCTAATCTGCCCGACCAGGAAAGATAGAAGCATTTGAGTCTTTTTAGCTCAGACTGTTTTTCTTGTATAAGAGGAGTAAAATTTATTTAAAATAAATTACAGCTAGGAGTAGTTAGATGTATGCCTAGATATTGTACTGGATTTTCTGACCAATGGTAAGGGAAGCAATTACCTAAATTGATTGATATGAAAAGCATCATCAATGGCTATAGCTAAGATATTAGTTTTTGAGGCATTTATTTTATAATAGGATATTTTGTTAAACTGGCCTAATATTTCAAGTACAGTTGGCAGAGATTTATTTGGTTCTGAAAGGGAAAGGATGACATCGTTAGCAAAAAGGGTGAAGGAATGTGATTTTGTAGAAGAATAAATGCCTTTTATTTGTGGTTGATTTTTAATTTTTTCAGCCAATGGCTCCATTAGTAAAGCAAAAATAAGTGGTGTGAGTGGGCATCCCTGTCTTGTACCATTGATGATTTTGAAATGATCAGAAAACATGCCATCTGTGAATACATATGCAGAGGGGGTGAAATATAATGCTAGTATGGCATTTCCCATCTCTCCTGAGATGCCAAACTTCAATACATGTTTGAGATAACCCCAATGGATTCCAATGAAAGGCCTTCTCTGCACCTAGTGAAAGAAACAGAGAAGGGCACTTCAATTTTTCAGCAAGATGAAGAAGGTTAAGGATTCTTCTTTTTGCGTCAAGAGCTGGTCTTCCAGGCACGAAACCTACCTGGTCTTGTTTCACCAATTTGGACAGGAACTGGGCAAGTCTGGTAGCTAGCAGTTTAGCATATATTTTAATGCTGACATTGAGTAAAGATATGGGTCTGTAATTATGTGGGGAATCTAATTTCTTGCCCGATTTTGGTAGAGTAATAATTGTCACCATTAACCTTTCCAAAGAGAATGAAGCTTTGGAAGCAGCAGCCTGAAAAGTCTTTAACAAGTATGGGCTAAGAACATTTTGGAAAGAATGGTAGTATTCCAAAGAAAAACCATTAGGGCCTGGGGATTTATTAAAAGGAAGTGTAACTATAATTTTTTCTAGTTCTTCCTCGGTAAATGGTTCAATAAGGGCTGCTAGATCTTCCTGGTTGAGTTTTGGCAATGATAATGAATCCAGGAATTTTTTAATATCTGCAGAAGTTGGTTGTGGAGTATTGTTATCTGTATGTAAGTTATAGAGATTGTTTTAGTAGCTTCGAAAAGCATTTACAATTTCTTTTGGGTTTGTTAGCCTATTTCCTGTAGTTGGATGGTTAATAGGGGAAATTTTTTGTTTGATAATATTTTCCCTTATTTGTTTTGCTAGCAGCTTGCAAGCTTTGTTGCTGTTGCTATAAAAATGCGTCCTCATTTTTCTTGTGTCATTATTGTGTTGTGAGAAAAGTAATAATCGGAGATCATGTCTTGCCTGTGAGAGTCTTACACTGGATTTATAGTCCTGTGACTTTTTTTCATATTTTCTAGAACTCCAATTTGAGAGATTAAAGGGTTACTAAACCCAGAACTCTTAATTCACTATATCTGGTCTCCCACAGTACACAGAACATGGAAGTGAAGTTATTTTAGTAAATATAAACTGCTAAATACCTTATCAGTTAGAGCAGTCTTTTGGCTTCTGTGTCCAGCCCAGCACTAGCTAAAGCTTGTAGGAGCAGGTTTCTTTCTGCTCTAGGAGGATGGAAATCCCCTGGCCTCTGTCTGAACAGTGCCGATTGGCCCTGTGCTGATCACATGCACTCTCTCAAGAAAATAAAAAACTGCTCTAGCAATATACACCAAACTGAGCATGTGCATGCCTATGGTCCAGTCTGGAGATAAGTGGTGGTTGCTTGAAAAAGGGGAGGAACAGAGAAGAAAGGATCAAACAGCCTTTTTACACAATGCAGAGGATTAACCCCTTAGGTTTCACAGTGAGCATAACAAGCATGCTTAACTGCATATACAGACTGATTTTACAGTTGTGGGTTTAGTAACACTAAGTCACTGAGCTGCTGGTTCCGCTGTTTCTTGATTGAACTGATGCATTTTATAAGGACCCCTCTAATAAAAGCTTTATGAGAATTCCACACTAGGGATCTGTTACGGAAGAGGAATTTAATTCAAAGAATTCTTTAATTGCTTTAGTGATTGCAGGTTTGTGTTCATGATGGTCGAAGAGAAAGATGTAATTTCGCCATCTATTTGCCCTAGTTTCTGTGCATGAAACCCTCACTGTTATGGAGATAGGAGCATGGTCAGACCACGTTATGTCATGGATAACAGACAGGTCACCATTTTTTAAAAGGAATTTGCCTACCAAAAACATGTCTATTCTAGAGTAAGTCTGATGCACATTCGAATAGGAGGAGTAATCCCTATCCATTGAATGTTGGCATCTCCAAATATCGTACATGAAATTGGAAGCAAGGAAATTAGCTAAGGTGGCTCTGTAATGTTTGTTGCGAGAAGGATCTGAGATATCTAATTGCCGGTTGGAAATGGCATTGAAATCTCCACATAGTACTACATGACCTTGTCTTACTGCTTGTACTCATTTCCAGGTTTTGGGTTTTTTTTAAGTAATTTGTTTTAGGTTTGAAGAGTATACATTTGTTAAAGTATACATTGCATTATTAATTTCACAAACAATAATCAGGTATCTACCTAAATTGTCAGACTCTAGGTTGAGAAGCTTGAAAGAAATAGTATCTGTAAAGGCTGCTGCAACCCCTCTTTTGGCTACTGCAACCCCTCTTTTTTCTTAGGAGGATTGAAGCAAAAAATATTCGGAAAGCGGGTGGGAAAATTTAGGTGGCTTATTTGCTGAAAAGGGAGTTTCTTGAATGCACAAAATGTCACATTGCAGGTTGTGTGTCTCCTTCTATAGCATATTTCTTTTAGTCGGACTATTTAGCCCTTGACACTGAACAAAGTCACTTTAAATTCCATGGTGGTAAATACCTACGATAATGGTTGGAGTATATTGGGTATCGCTATACCACTAGCCAGAGAAGTAGGTGCTCGGGTGTAGTCAATTGTTTTATTTAGTATTGGTTATTGGACAGTCAGTTGACAATGTCATATCAATGGTTTAAATAAAACTATGTAATTAGTGGAAACACAGTTACAAAAACAAACCCGTGAGTTCATCCTATCTGGCAAAGTGGCCCCAGGACCTTGAAGCATGTCCCTCAAGTTGCTTGCACATTTTTGCAAATTTATTTGAGAACATTTTTGGATTTCCAAACTCCAGAGTGCTTTAATATGCAAAACTGGCATGGTTAATCTCAGGACTTCCTCCTACCAACCCCTATTGGACTTTGAAGCTGCCCACTTCATTTGATTGCTAATAAGGAAGTTCTGGAAGGTGGAAAGAGGTAGGCCATGGTTCGATTATGACAACCATGAATGCTATTTGTATATTATAGGGCCTTCGAGTTTGAGGAATTCAAGGACCTGGAGCGACTTTGCCAGGTAATGTGCGCCCACAGGCTTGCCCTAAGGCTATGAAAGACTTACCTCTTCTACTGTCTCGTTTTAACTTGTTGGGATCTTCATAATCACCAACCCAGTTATATTCTACAGGCATAGATATCGGTCTTAGTTTTCCTAAAAGTAAAAGGTAAAGGGATACTGATAAAACATATTGTACTTCTTTTCACACCAATAACATTGATTTGAAGCTTTGCTTATTTTAAAATATGGAACAGAAAAAAAAATTGTTGTGCAGCAAACTGAAGAAAGCTGATAGCCGATAAAGTCATTTCAATATTCATAAGACAGAAGCAAGTTGGAATTTGCAAGAACGTTGTTAGAATTCTTGCTATATTAGTGACCTGGAAAGAATTGATTTTTCTCAATCAAATATTTTACAGTGATTTTATGCACAATGATATGTGAATATAACAGGGTGAAATGCACCTTTGACTTGTACATTACAAAGTGGCATTTTGTGATAACTACTGATTGAAGGCACATGCTATATAAAACAGAATCCCACTTAAAGTAGTTATTTACTGTGATTAGGCAACTGTTTTAAGTCTAAGGAAGTCTTTGCCAGGACATGTAGATGATGCTTTGTTCTAGAAGTGAGGTGTTAATTAACCTTCCTGGGAAAGAAAAATGAGAACAAGCCTGTGAAGGCAAAAACAGACCCTTATAATAATGAAAGGCTGTATAAATACCATCTGTGAAAGCACCAATGCTGTAAGAGGGCTGTAAGGAGACATTATGTTGAATGTTATGGGGAAGGAGGGAAGAGCACATTTACATGTTTTTCTATTTTACATAGGTTGAATTTAAGATGTTTTTGTGCTACATTAAAGTTACAACCAGAAAAAATATAGTGTGGGAAAGCACCAATTCAGGTTTCAACTTTGCAACTCTCAATGGATTTACTATAACATGTGATCTTTAGCCTGAGGTCTCTTTCAAATGGACGTTTCGATTGGGTCCACCTGCCAGTTTTTCAGGCAGACCCGAAATCTCCATTGTCCTCTATGGGAGCGGTGAGTGTAAATCGGACATGTGTCCATTTACACCCACCGACATCAAATCCGATCCGACCTACAAAAAAGGGACAGATGGGGATCCAATTCCCCTTCCATCGGTCAGATGGAAACTGACAGGTGGTCCATTTTCATCCAATTGCCTATTGAGGAGAGCGAGCTGCTCTGTGTCTGCTCTGCAGCAGAGGAGCAGACACAGACCTGTCATCCACTTGCTTAGCAGGGATCAGTGGAGAGATCCCCTGCTGAGCAAGCGGATCCGCTAATCCTGTAGAAATCTTCTGTGCAGAGATACTGGTACCTTTTCATGTTTCTGTATTTCCAGTACTCCAATGGTTAATAGTTTTGTTTCTTCAAACAGAACTGCAGTGAAGAAGTTCCCAACAATGACCCACCCTTCTTCCCAAAGTTTTTTCATTGTCTTCACTGCATGTAGCAATTTCTGAAGCAGGGAGATGCAGATGAATGGAATGATGCTCTCCACCATTCCGAGACTGTATTACATGCAGTGTAAACAATTCAACAACTTTTCTCAATGGAGGAGGAGAGGGCGGTTCACCCTTGGACCATTGATGTTCAGCTTAAAGACCTGGAGCTGTTAAACCCTGCAGAGACAGGAAGAGGACCAGCAATCCTGCACAGAGGATTTCTACAGGGATGCAGCTGTTTGCACACCATGGGACATACTTCATTACTGGTAAGTGATGTCACCAAAGCTGTAGAGGAAAAAAAAAGCATTTTTCGGTAAACAGTTTTAAATCCAAATAGCTTACATATATGTAACATACAAAGTGCTAAAGTGGTGTGACAACATGTTAACACTGAACATTCTGAATTAACCCTATGCACACAGCTAAACACCCTTACATATTTCTAACCAATTTTGTTTCATTAAACCGGAATTCTTGATTTGCTTGGCGAATTGTGGAGGAGAGCTATAGACCTAATCTGGTCACTAACCTGCACTATGCAACAGAAATGGAGGTAAAATTAGTGCCTAAATCCAAATAGCTTACATATATGTAACCACATATTAGCAGTGAGAATTACAAATTAATCCTCTGAACACTGCTATATACCCTTACATATTTCAAGCTAAAGACCTGAATATGTAATGCAATCCATGCAGACCAAGAGTCCCTGTTTTTATGCATACATTTGCTAGAAAATATGTAGGGGTTTACAGCAGTGTGCAAGGGGTTAATTTGACTGTTGTGCATTAACATGTGATCACATCCTTTTAGCATGGTATATACGTAAGATATTGGAATTTGTGCATTGAGATACCTCCATTTCTGTTTTATAGTACAGGTCAGTGACTGCACCTGGGTCTGTACTCTCTACCAACTGTGCCTGCCTGCTCCATATTGGCACTATATGTCCATCAAAGTATTCTGTAAGCAAGGATATATTTGGCATTTTGCACAGTAGAGTAGGGACTTGTCAGAGAAGGATCACTGATACATGTTGCCAGCTTGAATATGTATTGCAATGTGGGCATCAAGAATCCCTGTGTCCCATGTAAACGTTTGCTAGAAATATGTAAGGGTGTATATTAGCGTGCAGAGGATTGATTGGGAATTTATTATATGTGCAGAACATTTAAGAACAATCTTGTAAAGAGGGGATCTAGTCACACAATCCAAGCCAAACTGGAGGTTGTCTGAATGCTGGGAAAAATTAAAAGTGTGTTTTTTCAAAAACAGTCATTAGATTGTTTTTAGCCTTGACTGATAGCAGCAATAAAGGAGACATATGCTTAGAATTGCTCATATTCTTTTAATTCCTTTGAAAAAATAGGTTTCAATGGAACATCAGCAGGAGGACTTCTTTAAATATTGATATTTGGTGAGATCTGTAAAAGGTGGATTTCCCATCACCTTAGAGAGATTTCTGCTCACGTCCGGTCACATCTCTTGAACAGAAACTCTCATAAAAGACATGTAAGAATGTAAGAACTTTCACTAGTGAGCTTCAAACAATTAGATCATCATTTTATAAAATGATACAGAACAGCATTTACCATACGTAGGTGTGCTTTCTCTTCGACTTTGCATGCTAGCTCTTCCCTTGTCATACTCGTAGCAATATAACACTGCATCTTCCTCCACAACATTAAATCGCTTCCTATACTCTTGATCCAGAAAAGAGTTTGGGGACTCGGATCCTTTTGATACTGGCTTTCCAACAGCATGCCGAGTCACATCCTCACAGGGTAAGTTTCCCTTTTCATCCCTATTAAACAATAGATAGCACATGCAATTATATCCATCTTCTTTGCATAGTAACCATTAGGTAGAATTACAACTGTCAGAAGACAAATCATGTGTGTTGGGGAGTCTATGTCCACTGTGGAGTTACATATGAAGTGCTGAAAGACACTTAGTCTGTCTGTGGCTGCAGCACCGCTCCATACTGAAGGTCCAGATAAAAAGAATTGGCACTTCACACGAGGATGCATGTATCAGTGACACAATAACAACAGTCATTTAAAAATGGTCCTCTCTCCCTCCAGTGAGACAAAACAATTTATCAAGATGTTACTGTATGTTTGAAGTGGTGGTACAGTTATCTGCACAACTACAGTACTGCTAAGATAAAGAGTGAAGCAAGGGTGCAACTAAAGATAGCAATAACATTTGGTAATAGTAAGATGTATATATAGTTTATGAACCTTATTATGACACTCATTAAAATACGAATTATGTATCATGGGAGGGATTCTCTGCTGAGATGATGATTTGAGAAATAGGAGGGTTACAACTGTAACAATGTTTCAGTGTGTGCAGTAGCCTGGAGATGTAAGATGTAAAAGTCCAGCCTAGAATGAATGGTTAGGATGAATCGCCTGATGACCCCTTGTTTTTCTCAGTAACTACTCTAGTAGCTCTTTCCAACTATTATGTCCATTACTACCAAGGTCATAATAAGAGGTCTCCCAAAAACCACATCTTGTTAAAAGAGCAGCTTGATGGTTTCCTGTGAGGGCCAAGTTAACCTTAAAGCTGAAATTTAGCAAACAAAAAAAAAAAAATCCTGCAGCTTTAGTCACATCCCTTACATGTGATGAAGGGTTTCTTATGTTGTACAGAAATCTTCTATGGATGGATGCCGGTCCTCTTCCCGTTTCTGAACATCCAGCACTACAATGGTTAACAGCTTTAGGTCTTCAGGCAAAACAGCAGTACAGATGGTCCAACAGGGACACATTTCTTCCTTCCTCCTCCTCTTGAGAAAAATTCTTTCACAGATTACACAGCATGTAACTATCTGTGGATGAGGGAGAGTCTGATCAGTCACATGATTTTCTTCCCCACTCACATATTGTGTTGCAAGCAGTGAAATCAATAAAATAACTTTTCTCAATGGAGAAAGAGAAAGGTGGGGACGTTTTCCCTTTGGACCATCTCTACTGTGGTTTTGCCTGAAGTTGGTAACCATTGCAGCATTGAAAGTTCAGAGACAGGAAGAGGACAGGCATCCCTGCACAAAACATTTCTCCATGATTTAAGCTACCTGATGGCATAACCTTCATTATAGGTAAATGATGTGACTAAAGATATATGGAAAAACTTCAACTTAACATATTACTGATACATTACCTAAAATATTATTGCACATTGTTTAATAAAGGCCTAAATTTAACATACAACAATCTACAGAATATTAGATATGTAACTTTAAATTTTTTTTCATTGTATAATGATTTTCTAGACATCCTGAAATATGTACACGTTGCACAATCTAGACCTAGAGAGAACAGTCCAACAAGTCAAGGAGCAATGTGAAGCACGTGAAGGACACTAATCAATACCAACCAATCAGAATATATCAAGTCATGATCTCACTTCAGTAAACTTACATTTGATTGGTATGGTTAACTGGACTTTGCATAGCATCAATGTGTATTGCTGAAGACACAAGAGAGTCTCTCCAATCACTTTTTTCTAATACATCATTGTTGGAGAATATAATTACTGGCTAAAACAAATTCATCAATTTCAAAGCTTAAAACTAAAATTTAAAAAAGGGGCACAGCCAAACCTATGTTTTAAAACAGAATGTGCTTACCATTTTAACTAGCCCAATAAAAGTTTCAAAAAGTGATATTTACTATAAAAACTGTAATAATTATAATTATAATATAGAATCTATCCAAAATTATTAAAAAGGTAAACATAAAATCAACATCATCTATCTCAGTGGTTTGCAAAGTACTACAAAAAAAAAAAAAAAAAAAAAAAAAAACAAATCGCAATTTCAAAAAAATGAAAATTACCCTTTCATTGTTAAATACAGATTATTTTGCATTATGAAACAGAACATTGTAAGGATTGTTATTGGCATTAGGTGTCAAGGTCCTACCTTTTCCCAGAGGTTATGTTACTCCATGTGCTGGCATCCATCTTGGATTTCTGTTGAGCATGGTGGGAATTCTTTATGCCTTCAGGTCTCTGAGGTCCATCCCCCAGAGGGGTGTGGCTGATGACATATAAGCCTGTGGTCCGCACATGCTCTTTGCACTTGTGTCTTTGTGTTGCTATTACTCTGTTCTGACTCTCGTGACTCTCCTGGAATCTGACTCGGCTTGTGACTCGACTATTCTTTGTGTTCTCCTTTGATCTGACCCTCTGTTGCTGAACCCGGCTCGTGACCTGTGATTCTCGTCTGTTGTCCTGTACTGTTTTGTCCCGTTGTTGTCGACCCGGCCTGCCTGAGTACTCTATTGTCTTTTCCACCAGCTACACGCCATTGGCGGTGGCCATTTCCGCAACTGAGGTGTGCTGGGGGGCCGTGACCTGGTTCCTGGCTGCGTCAAGTCCATCCCCACCATCAGGGGCCCTGGTGAAGGGCAGCCTGGGACTTAGACTCCGCGCCCTGAGGGACTTCGGTCTGTGGGTGGTGGTTATCGTCAGCCAGTGCGTTACATTGTTTAGGCCTGCCTGTCCGTTCCTCGGCTCCTGCCCTGACATTAGGTTTTCAGGATATTTTTATTAACGATCATAGTTACCAGAATATTTTTAATATTGGTTGAAATTAGGGAATGTTTTTGACTGCTGTGGGTTATAATATTTTCAATAAATAAAAACAATTTCCGGTCACTTTGAATATAAACAGTGTCGGTCACCGTGGATATAAACCAAATACCCCAATGTTCAATATAATGTTGCTATTTCAATATAAATTCATGCACCCTAATAAATCTTCATATAGTCCACCAGTACTTAGTGCTCCATCAATTCTTTGTGTTCATCACACCAATATGACCTCTTCTATTCATAGTACCTCAAAGCAAATAAACTAAACATAGTGTATTATCCTTAGATACAAATGATATTGGTGTGTGTGTATCACAATCAGCATCACCGTGATCACCTACAGGTGAAACTCAAAAAATTAGAATATTGTGCAAAAGTTAATTTATTTCAGTAATGCAACTTAAAAGGTGAAACTAATATATGAGATAGACTCATTACATGCAAAGCAAGATAGTTCAAGCCGTGATTTGTCATAATTGTGATGATTATGGCTTACAGCTCATGAAAACCCCAAATCCACAATCTCAGAAAATTAGAATATTACATGCAATCAATAAAACAAGGATTGTACATAGAACAATATCGGACCTCTGAAAAGTATAAGCATGCATATGTACTCAGTACTTGGTTTGGGCCCCTTTTGCAGCAATTACTGCCTCAATGCGCGAGGCATGGAAGCTATCAGCCTGTGCACTGTTGCACTGTTGAGGTGTTATGGAAGACCAGGCTGCTTCAATAGTGGCCTTCAGCTCTTCTGCATTGTTCGGTCTCATGTCTCTCATCTTTCTCTTGGCAATGCCCCATAGATTGTCTATGGGGTTCAGGTCAGGCGAGTTTACTGGCCAATCAAGCACAGTAATCCCACGATACTTCCGGTAACATCTGACGTCACCTCTAACGCGTTCCGTCATCACGACTTTATATGGTAAGGTATATGGGTTGACATGTGCTTTATTATTCAGACCACGGAGGAACTTGACCACTTAATCAAGTTTGGCATGGCACTGGTTCACAATATAGGAGGGACAGCTGACCTTGTAGTGGGAGCAGAATCTTGGAGCACTTTATTTGTTGGTTTACTTAACCTGCACCACCTATTGATTTGGTAAGGTGCATAGATTTAGAGATGGTTCACTTGATTGATTGCACTGTATGACCACTATTTGCAGTGTGGCATGGCACACATTCACAGTGTTTAGAGGAGTGTGGAACATAAAGCAATTGTTCATGAATTTGGGCAAGGGGAGGAATCTTATCACTGGATATATAGGTGATCACGGTGATACAGACTGTGAAACACACGCACCAATATCATTTGCATCTAAGGATAATCTACTATGTTAAGTTTATTTGCTTTGAGGTACTATGAATAGAAGAGGACATATTGGTGTGATGAGCACAAAGAATTGATGGAGCACTATGTACTGGTGGACTATATGAAGATTTATTAGGGTGCATGGATTTATATTGAAAAAGCAACATTATAATGAACATTGTGGTATTTGGTTTATATCCATGGTGAAAGACACTGCTTATATTCAAGGTGACTGTAAACTGTTTATATTTATTGTCTACTTCCAGTGTGAAAGGATATACCGTACAGTCAAAGGGACTATAATTTTTGTAGGTGGGTTTGGTTTATTCTATATAATATTTTCAGTCAGATTTTCCTGTAAATATCATATAGAAATATTTTATTCAAAATAAATACACATTTTATTTCTGCCATGTACTTTAAAAAAATAAAATTTAACAACTTGGATATTTTTCTGCCATTGTAGTCAGTTTTATGGTTTTGTAAATTATTTATTAATGTTTAAAAAAAAGTATATTTTGGCACAGAGCAAACCACAGATAGTTAATAGAAAAGTGATCCTAGCCCCCAGAGACACGCACTGGGGAGTCTATAAATGTAATTGCACAACAATTCCACAAGTTTTACCATGCATTCACACATTTTAACAATTAAATTCAGTGGCATACAAGATATTGGCATATACATATGTAGTGAGTTTCCATTACATACCTTGGTGTATATGGCTCTGACGGCGGTGGGGGGATAAAGAGATCTTGAAGGGCAGTACTGTCCCTTTTAGTAGGTGTGCTGATTGTACTTGATGGGGTGGCAGCTCCACTGGTGGGACTTCTTGGAATCAGTGGCTAGAATTAAAACAAAGTCATTATATACTAAAACTGTTCAATTTATTTAAACCCGCAATAATACGGTCTAGTGTAGGACTCTGGATCATTCCTCTTAGCTGAACTCCTAAACCAAACACCCAGAATAATGAATGCTTTGCCTAAATGTAAATAGTATATATACACACACTCACCAGCCACTTTATTGGGTACACATTGCTAGTGACATGAAAATATCCCACACACCATTACACTACCACAGCAGCCTGAACCGTTGATACAAGGCAGGAAGAATCCATGCTTTCATGTAGTTTATGCCAAATTCTGACCCTACCATCTGAATGTCACAGCAACTAGTCTGCTCGTTCTACTCTGACATGAACAAGGCATTTTTTTTTTTTCACAACTGCCACTCACTGGATATTTTATTTTTTTAGGACCATTCTCTGTAAACCCTAGAGATGGCTATGCATGAAAATCCCAGTAGATCAGCAGTTTTTTAAATACTCAGACCAGCCCATTTGCACCAACAACCATGCCACGTTCAAAGTCACTTAAATCTCCTTTCTTCCACATTCTGATGCTTAGTTTTAACTTCAGCAAGTCATCTTTACCACATCTACATGCATTGAGTTGCCGTCATGTGATTGCATGATTAGCAATTTGTGTTACCAAGCAATTGAACAGGTGTACCTACAAAGTGGCCTGTGAGTGTAAGAGTATAGTTTTTACAATTTAAAAAAAAAGTTATTTAAAGTATATGTAAACCCTCACCTTATAAAACAACCCATTCAGTTTAAAAAAAGAAATGAAAGGCAAAACATTTGCTTATAGATCTAAAAAAGGGGAAAAATGGTATTTACTATTTTTTTTATAAGTTATCACAAACCCTCTGTTCTGGGAGAGGAGAAAAAGCAGCACACTGATCCTCCTAGGGGGTATGTCAGCAGAAGTCTTATCACTGGAGGAGAGCAGCAAGAGTTCCAGCAAAGCTAGAACATTGACCATGTTGTGCTCTCATGCCTAATGTGGTCAGCTTTTATAAGTACAGCAGAGGGATTGGCAAAACCAGGGATTTCACACAAAGGAAACAATACAAAGAACAAGATACTTTTTCATACAAGTACATGGCACAGCAGGCACATAACAGCAATTTGGAATGTTGGGTTTACATTTTTTTTTTTTAAATTTCTATTTAATCAGATAACAAATGCACAAGGGTATTTCCTACTTACACCTTTCAAGTCAGCAAGGGGCAGTGTAAAGGCAACAACACACTCTCTTTCAGTAGGATAACAGCTAATGTTATGAAAAGACCTTAACAGCAAGGGGGTCAGATTCCGCACACTGAAGAATGATTCAAGGAGGAAGGATGCGCAGTTAGGGCAGCACGATGCATACAACTGACTCAGACCTGTACAGCGTTCTATCAAGCAAGCATTCAGTGTTGGGGAAAATGTTTCAAGCACTAATGTACAGTGCACTATAAGGCTATTATTATATACACTCACCAACCACTTTATTAGGTACACCTTGCTAGTGCCAAGAAAACATCCCCACATCATTACACCACCATCACCAGCCTGAACCATTGATACAAGGCAATATGGATCCATTCTTTCATGTTGTTTGAGAAATTCTGACCCTACCATCTGAATGTTAAACCCTCAGCAACCAGTCTGCCCATTCTCCTCTGACATCAACAAGGCATTTTCATCCACACAACTGCTGCTCACTGGATATTTTCTTTTTTTGGACCATTCTCTGTAAACCCTAGAGATGGTTGTGTGTGAAAATCCCAGTAGATCAGCAGTTTGTGAAATACTCAGACCAACCCATCTAACACCAACAACCATTGCACAAAGTCATTAAAGCCTCTTTCTTTCCCATTCTGATGCTTGGTTTTTTAAACTTCAGCAAGTCATTTTCACCACATCTAGATGCCTAAATGCATCGAGTTGCTGCCATGTGATTGGCGGATTAGCAATTTGTGTTACCAAGCAATTGAATAAGTGTACCCAATAAAGTGGGCAGTAAGTGTATATTACTATAGCTAAGGTCATGTCCTTACTTAGGCTTTTAAAACACATTAGTACTGCATGGTATCAGCGAAAAAGTGTATAATACTTAATCCATAAATGGGTTATGGGTTATGTAAGGACAACATCTACACTAAAAAGGACTTGATGATGTAGAAGTGCTATGTGTTCAACACACAAGAAGCATGCATTAAACTGCGTTGTTTTGGCTGTTACACAGTACAGCATGATCACTTATACATGGAGGACCATTCAGAACTCTAAATAAATATCTTTGGCATTGTCTGACCTGCAAAAATGAATATAAATCATCCATAATCCCTGAGTACATAGATCATGTTTATAATTGTGTACACAGCATGACAACACCGCACAGTTCTTGCACTGCAGTATAAAAAGGAGAATCCTTATAGACCATTTCCTAAATGTCATGTGTATTGATGAGTGACTTTTTAATGTCTTTAATGCTCATGGGATAACAAATATACATTTGTCCACTGAAAGTAAATTCTGTAACACAACACAATTTAATATATTTTATGAAGAGAAAGGGTATTACTTTACAGAAGGATGGGGTAAACCTGAAGAAATGGCAGAATTGTAGCAGATGGTAAGTGTACAAGGCGGTGAAGATCTTGTGAAACGATGAAACGAAGTTTCATTCACATACCATTGTACGGTTTTATCCATTAGCTACAGAAATATCAGATGACATTTCTTTTGTGAGCCTGATCTGAGATTAAACAAATATTTATAACATTCAGGTCTGCTAATAAAAGTAAGACTGATATCAGATGGGCAATTCTGTCACTAGAAACAAAATCACCAATGGAAGGATTGCTAAAGAGGCTGCCTGTCTGCCCCTATGGAATCGATCTCCCTGTAAACCGATGCAGCGAGATGGGAGAAAAATCTTATTGCATAAGCTACAGAGGGTGCAATTACATAATGACTAGCAGCAGCCTTTTAGCAGTGCTGTTGCTGGCAATATCAACAATATAACCAGTGGCAGGATCACTAGCAGCAGAAATTGTCCATCTAACATAAACCCTTATGGTGGTGGACACAGGTTTGTTTTAAGAGAAGCAAAAGAGTAATTATAGACTGGCAAATGATGAATCCTGGACTATAAGATGGTAAAAAATTCAAGTCTCAGTCCACTGATTTCCTAGGAGGCCAAAAAGAAGACCCCTTCAGACAAGAGTGCATCATCTTTCAGATTATGTAATTTTAAATCTCAATGCAAATAATCTATAAAATACATTAAAATTTGTATTCCTAATATGTTTAGTGGTACTTGTGAATCCTTTAGCAAAAGAAAACAAAACTGTTATGTACTCTTACAAGGCATTTGATTTAAACAAATTGTTATACTGTATACTTTCACATGGCACAATTTGTTAACTATACATTGAATTAAAAAAAAATCTAAACTCAAAAATTAAAATAGTTAAGAGATTTAAAGTCTTGAAGCATATGAATCGGTCCTAAAGCAAACATGTTGCTATCTTTGCATGAGCAAAGCACAGATTTGCTTTAAAGTGCTGACCTTGCTACTTCAAGTACAGAAGGAACTTTTATTAGACAGGATTAAACAACATTTAATGATTTAACGTGTTTAATTTGTGTTTTAGGTCTTCCTGAAATTCTACTGTAAATCTTAAACATTGACAGAAGGCTTCATTTTCTTTTTGATCCTTATTTGTGTTTTACTCTTCAGACATACCGTAGCTAGAAAACTGTACTCAAAATATAAGATATCATGAGAATAGATGTTATGCTTTGCTTTAACTTGCAATGGAAAGCAACAGAAAAAATAAAATTAAAACAGAAGAAGCTTTAATGTGCTGAATCTCTAAAACAGGAATGTTAACAACATTCATGGGTCATATACGTATTTCCTCCATTTACAAATTAAAGACACCTGAAAACAAAGGAAAAGCAGAAAAGATGCTTTGGTGTCCACTAGCCACAGAAGGAAACCATTAGGGCTACTATATATCGGTAGAGACATACTGTAGATGGCCATCTTGGGGAGGCCAGCATCTTATATTAGATGCTGAAATCCTGCGAGATTAGGGTGGACTGCTTGATAGGGAAGTGCTTAAATAGCGGTTTTTCTGCATTATGTGGAGCACCTGCAGTGTGGGAATAGATCGGAGACAGAGCTTCGCTTATTAGGGAGAGAGTAAAAGCAGTGTTAGGGAGAGGTACCCAACAAGGAGGGATAGAGTAGGTTCTCCCTAAAGGGTATCAATTCTGCCAGCTTCTTGGAACTGTCTATCCCCACCAGCCAGAAATACTGAAAGGACCTTAAGGACCTCAGGGACAACCCAATAATCTGGATACCGCCTCTAAGGAAAGTGCTTCTTAAGCATTCTGTGCTATTTAAGCTCATATTGTATAGATATTGAAAAAGTGTTTTATTGACAGGTATTACCCTTCTGCTTGAAGAAGTGTGTAACCCACAACATATTTAGTGCAATATCTGTAAATTATCTTATTTATGTGATCATTCAATATGTTCAATAAAAAGTAATATTTAAGCATCTACGTGTGTTGGCCATCCCAATTGTTGATTTTGCCAGTTTAACCCCACCACCCCTTCATTTGTAGGATTTCTCTCAGCTGGATGCACAGAATTCATTTTATCCTTTACCAGAATATAGCCAGACACCTGTGCACTTTGTGCTTAGGTCTCTGAACGAAAGTCTGATATATTGTACCTGGACTTCAGCATTCAGAGTACAGATTGAGAGTATGCCAAAAAAATTTTCTTGTGTCAGACACAGTGAAACTCATGACTATAGTGTCTCACTCTAGGGAGACTAGAAGGAAATTAGAACTACTTGGACATATAGTTCTGCACCTGTGCATGCTGTGATTGGGACGGCTGTGACGTGCATTTCCTTAGTAGCTTTGTAGCTGCTATCTGGACATCATATCCCCAGTGTTGACTCATGGTTGCAGCCAGGCTACAGA